TATGTAAATATATTGTTGCTGATGATACTTTAAGCATTTACAGAAAAAATTGTCAAGCGCGAGCGGAATTAGCACAAAATATATTTCATTAAAAGAGACTACAACTGATACGATTTACATTAGCGAACTAAAAAACTTTAACCACACATTTTATTGTATCGTGTGGAAAAATCTTCAAAAGACCGTCCCCTCATCAGGGTTGACAAGGGGGCGTGTGGGATTCTTACCCACTCGGTATACCTACGAGTGCCATTGCCGGTGTCGCGAGGTCGCGTTAGCATCACTACCGACGCTCCGGCGGTGTTGGGCCGTCCTGTAGATGGTAGGGCAGGCCCCATCACGTTCTTGGGGCGACCTATTTCGGCCTACTCAATTGTAGAAGCGTGTGTGTACGCCACCAGAGCTATTTGACAATAAACGTAAAGCAACATCGTGTACCTGACGGTCAGTCTGGTTGGATGCGACTGGCAGACCTCAGTAATTTTAACGATTAGATTTCCCAAATATTGTATCCATATACATGCTTGCTCATTAATAATTTGTCTGCTTTTCAGTTAAAATATATTTTATGATTATTAGGAAGATGGCTACAATCTCGGTAGGTATTCCCATACATAATAAGTAACTCTGGATAATTAACACAGTAGTCTAGTCCCACGGTAAGCAGAGCTTGTGGGTACTAGGCAACTGATATAAATATAGTACTTTAGATAATGTTTGTAGTGTGCGAGGGATCGAACCCGCGACCATTGGAAGTAAAGCGGTGTGCTAAACCGCTACACCACCGAGGATCTCGCATGTTTTGTGACATTTGTGATATATTTTGGTAGATATTCGTTGCCATGTACTCAATATCTGAGTTAAATCATAATCATAGGAGTTAAATCGCGAGCGTAGGTACGTATAACTATATATGGTACATACCACTTACATGCCGCCTAGAATGCTAACTCCGCGTTTTCAACTTTAATTACCCGTGACCCTACTGTCCTAAAGCGGGCTTTATTTCAGTTTTATAGCCCGCCGTCCAAATAAAGTGAGCGGCATTGCAAAACATTAGCATTTTATTATAACCCACTTCAAAAAAGAAGGGTCGCAGTTCAAATATAATTTTATCTTGTGTATAATAATAAAAAAAAAATATGAAAACGATTTGGCCTAATGGTTAATCGGTGTGGTACAGGGTTTTATTTCCTTTTTCGTTAGTTACTATATATTTTTATAGTACTGCAAACAATTTTTAAATACTACCATTATCCAGATGATATGAATGGCGCTCCTCCACAGTGCGGTTTTCTAGAAACTTTTTGCCGCGCACAATCACATTGTGGAATCACCTTCCAGCAATGGTTTTTCCGTACCGATACGATATTGAAACCTTTAACAAAAGAGCTTATTCCTTCTTAAAATGCCGGCAACGCACTTGCAATTCCCTTAGTGTTGCAGGTGCTCATGAGCGGCGGTACTCACCATCAGGTGAGCCGCAAGCTCGTGATATCACGTTATCACATGACGCCTCTAACAACACTCATGCATTCCCATTACAGAGGATTAACTTGTCATGCATTTGACGGCCTCAGTGATCTAACGGGTTAGCACAGCGCATTACTTTCGCAGGTTCGATTCCTCGCACAGTACAAATCAACGCTTTGCAGCGTATGTGTAAACCGTGTACGTGTTACACTCTACAGTATCAGCTGAGTCAGCCCATTTAGCTCAGAAAATGTGCTGTAAGGTATTAATATTTCTGTAAATTTACATAGTTTAAGTGGTTCGTTTCTTTCTTGTTATGACATAACAAATTGTTATGACTATTCAAAAGTGCTTAAATTAAGTTTATTTGAATAAATGATTTTCTATTCTATTCTATTCTATTCTTTAATTAAGGGTACGCTTTCTTTCTTTTTCCTAGTAATGACTAATAATTATTATTATTATTGTATTTTGGGATTTTTCTATGTATATTATGTATCTATGTGTTTAGAACTAGCACACAGTTTATAAATAATATTATCTAAAAAATTGGGTCACATTGTGTATCCGCGATTTTAAACTACGGTATTCCCAACTACTGAACCGATTTTGATGAAATTTAATGTTTAAGTAGGTAGTTTAGGTAAGTCTGAGACTATTCTCGGTCGTAATCTATTTTTATGCCATTATGTAGTTGCGCATACCCAAAACATTTTTCTTTATTATTCACATATTTTGTAATTATTCTGTTTTAAAAAATACGTACAACCCTAAGTTTTCGTCCTTTTACTATCAACCCCTATTCTTAATAGTAATATTAAAACAACGTTGGGACAGTTAGAATCAATATAAAAAATACCCTTAAGAATAGTTACGTACAATTTTGTTTCACTATACGAGTATAAGCAAACAATCAGCTCCGAGCTCTATCAAAATATTCATAAAGTGTATTGTAACAATCTTTCCGGACCCGTTCCTCCCATTCCGCTGAAATACTTGGAGTTTTCTTTTCAATTTCAAACTGTCTCGCACTCCTCGTCCGATATAAGGGTTTGATTTGGATTTGTGTGGATAAGGCTTATTGTAGGATGTAAAACATCAACCTAAACTTAAACCTCAAAAAAAACAAATGAAGCAAATCAAATGAAAATATCTTTATTCATGTAACCCTATTACAGACTCTTATGATATGTCAAATCTAGCACCACTTCGGAGTTTTTTCGATTTGAGAAGAACCGACAACAAACTCATTCTTTTCCATTCGAAAAGAATGAGCTTGTATATATTTCAAAAATACAAATTATTTGTAAATTCATATTACGGAAAATACGGTTATTGTAAAAGAAAACGTTTAGCGTAAAGTGTAAAGTTTTACCACTTCCTATAAAATCCTAAATCTTTTATTGTTGTATAAGTTTAGGTTATTTTTTTTATGAAAATATACAAATTGGAAGCATGTGAAAGAAAATTTAGCACTCTGAATCATATTGTAACAGGTGACATTTTAGTTTTTAGTCACTTTCTTAACTTTTAGTTGTGGTTATTTCTTTGTAATTTACTTAATAAAAATCTACACAAACTATCAGTAGAAGGCAAATATAATATATTTATGTCATTAAAAATTTTATATATTAATATTTTGAATATTTTACAAATCCGTAAATTACTTCTAAAAACAATAATAGACAAATGTGAGATTCAATATGTAACGATGCAAAATATTATTATTGAAAAGCGTACATTTGACGTGTCCATATATTTCTTTACTCCGTCCACAAGAGTACAAGACACGATGTCTAAAATTCGCTGTTATAAGAAAGGAAACGCTGAAAAAAGGCCACCAGAACTTTGTCTAATAGAATTTAAATTGTCTCCTTATATCCAAGTCGTTTATATTGCTCATTGAAACTGGAAACTAAGTATAATGAATCTTATGTGTAAAGATATAAGGGTTGAATTCGAATGTAGTTGCAGTAACACTATATACAATATATATACTCCAATATGTAGTTATTTCAAATAAAGCCAGCAGATTCATATTGAAGTTTTATTGTAAAAGTTGTTTGGATTTCTCTGGTTCTATTATTTCCTAGATTAACTAGTAGTACCTACTTCTGTACCGCATTTTGCTGTGTGCTGTGTTTATCATAGTTTTAACTAAAATATCAAACAAGGTAACAGCTATCCTGATGGTAGTATCTTATAGACATGAACATCACTACGGCGGTCATTTTGTCACTCCCCCTAACCCCTTATTTTTATTTATTTCATTAAATTTATTTATTTATTTCAGGGTACTAATGACCCCAATGTCAGGTTGACCTCAACGAGGTTCCACCTGGAAACCATTGTGATAAATTCCTGATGACTACCACAATGGGCTAACCTGACCTGACCTCATGCTCATCCTATCATCCACCTGGTGTCCCGCCAGCGTCAACCGTTTATCAGAACACGCTTACAAGTTTTTTTTTTAAACATATACATATATAGAAAACTCCCAGACGAATACAAACAATCATACAAGTCTATATTGAAACAGGGCAGATTTTTTATCATCATAATTATGCATTGACATTCTGTCTGTATGGTCTCCTCCAACATTTCCTTTCTCTCTATATCCCCAAATACATATGCCTGTGTGCGCTATGACTTCTATGGCATCAACCCATGATATTTTCTCCAACAAGGAACTTGAGGAATCAAACCCCCTCATAGGCTGTCATACTTTAAAACATTATTAAATATTATAATAATATGTGAATATAGTGTTTACTAATCATATTTAAAAACTCAATTTCCAATATTAAATACATACTAGAAGTTTCAAATTTCAAAATGTAATGATCCCATGGATGGATACACTGGAGACTATAAATATGAGTAAAAACAATAATGATTATGTGTAAATTTTTTTATTCAGAAACCCAAGATGTATTATCTTGGGTTTAAAAAACTGATAAAGTTTTGCAACCTAAGTGACTTTAGATGATCTACAGACAATAAAAATACAAAGCTTTTTATTAATATTACTACTTTATTAACATTATTATTACAACTATTCCTAGAGACATAAAAAGCATTTAGTTTCTAGTTTCTCATTAACAATTGAGGATTTACCACAAACATAATGTATAGCTTTACTGCATCTATTACAGTACTTTATATTATTAATTTCATGATAACAAACTGGACATTTCACTGTAGTTAATAATAAATTGTAATTATTATCTTCCTCCATCATAACACTATTATCCGATCCAGTGTTTCTTTTCATAATTATCTCTGCAACATTATCGAAATCTGCAAGAGGTGTTTCTCCATCTTCGTTAACTCTAGCCCAAATAGGTAATGAACCAATAGGACTATTGGAATATTTATTAAAAACTTTGTCACAAGGTGCAGTACTGCGTTTTAGTCCATCATTACACACATTGTTTAATTTCCACTGCACCATTTGAACACCAACTGCCCAAGAACTACTGTTAGTCGACCTAATCCATTCCCTTAACAAAGTTATCACCTTTTTATTATACCTATAAATATTCACATCCTGATCTTGAAAAACTATTGTGTTGAAGTCAGCACACAATGTGTTTATTTCATTAATAATTGATCTAAACAGGGAGAAATTATCATTAACATATAAAAAATTTGGTGATCCAAAGTTGGTAAATATTTTAATAAACTCAGTAGTTAATTCAGTCTCATTCATGCTTAATAGAGGTCTTAAAATTACAAAATCTGTCCCTTTATCTACCAACACTAATATAAAATTATAGGGATCATCAAAAAACGGTTCCATATTAATAATTAAAACATAGCATTCATTGAAGAAAGAATTTCTAACAGTCTGTGTTTGTGTATTACTTTCTTCAGAACTACTTGTGCTTGGACATTTATGTATACTGAAGAACATATCAATACATGCAGTGTTAACCATATAGTTTTCCTTCAGTACTGATATAAGTTCATTACGAGGACAATGATTATTAATAATATGACTGAACGCAATTAAATTAAAGCTCTTATGATCCGCAATTACCTTTATTAGGGAGTTGTCTTTAGATTTCTCTTTGAGAATGAGCGTTTTGACACCATTTTCATACAATACATCGTAGAAAGAGTGCACCTTAAAGTCAAATTCTGTAGGTTGTGTGGCTTTTTCTTTCTGTTTTTCCCAAGTTAAACACTTTTCTATTGCTTCGATGAGCCCATTGTAAGAAGTTCGTGACCACGGGGCGTCTATTTGAGTTAACATTGAGGTTTTTAAATTACTACGCCGATTTAAGGCTTCATAATAATACTTCCTCTCTACTTGAAAATCAATGTGATTTATTAATTCGATTGCCATTTGCAAAGATATGGATGTATTTTCTTGTTTGGAACCCATTGTAATAAGTTTGACTTACTTACATTATTTTCACTAAAAATAGACTTTGATTTAATAAATAATAAACACAAATGTAAAGTAAACAACCAGTACAGAGCACTGAATACAAATTGTAGATCACAACTTCTGACGTTTATATGATACTTCTACGGTAGTCTGTGTCTGTGTCTAACGTTACGCGACGGAATAATTTAGGTTGAAAGAATTTTAATCTTAACGTCCAGCAGTACGTTCACTTTTCATTTAACCTGTCCGAAATAACACCTATGAATTCCTATGTGAAACCTGGCAATAAGGGACTATGTCTCTTTCGCACAGTTTCCCAGTATACCTTACAAGTAAAATTAGTGTTTATTTATCAAATAATTTCTTTTACGTCTTATGAGTTATTAATAATAAGGTCCAAAGGATGTACTAATTTCACTACAATATTATAAAGAATACTTTTTATTTCACTAAGTACAAATCAATTCGTTTTATTTGCGACGGTTATCGAAATATTTAGTTGGACATGCAATTTTTTTAAACTATTTGACAGTTGAAGATGCGATGTAAAGTAATTTTTATGGTTTATAATGGAACGGTGTTATTTATTGGTCGCCTGCACTAACAATATATATTAGCGATGATGAGAGGAGTGACCTAAGTTCATACTGAGCATAACTTAATTAAGGACCATACGAAATCAACCAAATCGTTTTCAGGGATACGGGAATGCAGGGAGTGTTGTTAGTAATGAAGACTAGTGACTATATTATGTGAACAACTTTATGACCCAATATATAAGCCAATCATTGTCCGTTGCTAACTGTACGAGAATTCTCATATATGAGTCATTTCTTCTTCGGTATGAGGATATTTTCATACTTGTAAAAATTTGTTAGAGATTTTGATGTACAGAAATCAGTCAAATTATAAGAATAAGTAAGTAACGAGGTTGGAGTCAAATAAAGTCAATGTACTAGAGCTATATAAAATAAAATATAAATATAAATATTGTATGTATAGGCACAGATAATATATGGTATAGGTGAGTTTCTTACGTTTTTTTTCGGTCTAAGTGCGGATAGTGAATATGCGTCAACGTATTCTAAAGATTATATTTTAAAAACACATATAGATACTATATGTATATTCCGGATCACATACATTTATGAGGTCCCATGTCACTGGAGTGTAAAGCATAAAGGATCCAACATGGTTTATCCAATACCCCTTTATAGCGTAATCAGATGACGCTTGGTTGCATTCAGACTATAAATTTCCCCTTATGGTACGGTAAAACCTTCTATAAAGTTAGTTTAAAGAAATCAGGATTTGTTTAATGGTGATACGACGCAGCGCCATCTATGTAGTCCCCAACTAAGTAGTGCTTATGTGATTAATTAATATTAGGTGTGCTACAATGTTATAATATAACTATGTTTTTTAAGCTTTTTAATTTTAGGTTGTAGTTGTACAATTAAGCTATGTAAATGATATAATTAGTTAATAATTTTCTAGTTAATTGACACTATGTTTTTTTGTACTAGACCAGTGTTTCCCATTTTTTAGTCATGGGGGCATGACTAAAAAATAGGAAATACATTAGCTTTTCTAAAATTCTTATTACCCGTATTATTATAATAAATTCATGGTGAATTTACCAGGGTGGGCAGCGTAAATAGTGATCATAACATTTATAATAATAGTTGCCGCTTACCATCACCATCAAGTAGTAAGCTCGTTTAGTTTTATAAATTTGTAATTTTATAAAAATATGTCTTATAAGAGACATTAATAGGTTATAACGATGATTTCTTAGGTAATTTGACTAGAGACATATTTTGTTCAAAATCATCTGCCTCTACCTATATGCGAAGTAGATACGCATGTATATCTACTTAGCAAAACAAAAAATGTATACGAAAAGCATTCCCAAAGCCGATAATTAAATTCTGCTGCCCAAATCGGCTTTGTTTTAAACGAAATGCAGAGTTTATATCTAAATATTTTCTACAGAAAACTTTATATAATGAAATCGTATGGAACAGTAGCCATTTAAGAATTTGCATCTCTATGTTAGTGATCATAAGATATAATTTTACACGTAGTATATATAGCTTTAAAAATATTCTTAATTTCTCTCTCTCTTTCTTAATTCTCAGGAATCCAATTTTTTTTTACACATATACGTACATAGTTCACTAGCTGTTACCCTCGACTTTGTCTGCACAAATTTTTATCCCTTATTTTATAGACACAATAAATATCGTTTACCTCCATATAAAATTCATTAAGATCTGTTCAACCATATGTATAGAATCTTTGGTATGGATCCTAGATTAACTCATAGAACAGTTTTACGCGAATTCACCTGCATCCACTGAAGTACAATTTATTAAAATTGTTAAATTTAATTAATGTAAAATACTACATTTATTTTAAAAAAAAAACGTTATTTTTATATTTGCATTTTCTAATTGTTCATTTTATACTCTTTTTAGTACAAACTATTCGAAACATCGATAGAGGTACCTTAGAAATTATTTATTTAATTAATATATATAATATTTAATATATAAATATATATATACTAGAATTTTGTTTGAAAAATAGCTTTTTTTTTATCTATCTATCTCTGATTTTATCTAATATTGTAGATACATATCTAGTGATAACTAAATAATATAGTAAGCTATGTCAAACCTACAATAGTTTTTATTGTCGTCCCGAAGTAAATTAATAAGGTACCCTTAGGAACGATGTCCGGCATCTCGTTATAAATTACAGGAACGTCTGCCTCTTAAACGGGTCGAGGACCACGCATAATTAATATCTTCGGGCCACAGAATGCATATTCATGAGACACAGGCTAAATTATTACAGTTTTGCACCATCAAAGCTTTTTTGAGGAAGTTTAGCTTCACTCTATCTCACAAAGGGCCAGTTTATAGACAAGCTTGTCTAATATGTAAAATTCTTGTGTCGCAGTGTTTCTAACAAAACTTCATAGACAATCTAATATATAAAATTATCGTGTCACAGTGTTTATAACAAAACTTCTCCGAAACGGCACGACCGAATTTTTTGAAACTTAATTATTGAGTAGGTCCCTGAACTATCTTTACTTTTAAGTGATAAGCTAGACAATTTTTGTTTTATTATTTCTACCCTTTTTTATGATTTGGCATTATAGAACTCTAACTTTAATCCTTAAACCACTCAACCACTACTTTTTAATATTAATCTATATAGCAAAACAACGTTGCAGGGTCGGCTGCAATAAATGAAAATAATTTTCATATTATTGTAGACGTCTGATGATAAGGATAAAAGTCTCTCTGTTTTCCCTCTAAAAGTCCTGGCACTGAATATTTTTATTATAGAAAATACCGCTCCTTTTAACTGGCAGTCAGCAGATTAACTCGACGATAAAATACGCTTTCAACAAGTCGCTGTATCTGATATCACAATGTGTCTCCCGGGATAGCAGCTCCAAGCTTTCAAGTTTTATTTTTTCCCAGTTTATTTGCGCTCAAACGCGTTTAAAAGTCATTTGTACTAGCGGGAATTAATATAGTTTAATTATAAATAGTAACACAATTTTGATTTGAACGTTGATACTGTTTTTTTTTCTTATGGATGATAATGAAATGGTGCACCTCCGTGCGCTAGCGGTTTACGCTGGCGGGGCACCAGTGGAAGATGATAAGATGAGCATGTGGTCAGGTCAGTCAGCCCATCGTGGTAATTTCTCCATGAGTTAATCATGATGATTTCTCTAACCATCTTGAGGTCAACCTGACATGGTACATTGCCATCATTGTACCATGGTAGTGCACATTACAAACAATCCCCTTCTCCCCCTGTTGAAACTGTTGATGAAGTTATCTATGTTGATATGAATTAAATTTATTTGAAATATCATATATTTTCTATGTATGTACTTTTAAATAGTCATAGGTACTTAGTTTTTTGGTTATTTATCCAATATTCAATCAAAGTATTTTTTATGTAAATTTAATGACAAACAAAGTGATGGTAAGCGGCAGCCATCACCTATGTACAGAATGATACGGACGTTACATGATCATGTAAAATACATCATACCACTAAAGAATTTATATTCCAGAGGACTAAGACGTACTCTTACCCTGTAATTTCACTGCTTAATCGCATTACACAATCGATACAGTCAATACAGTTTGCCAAATAACATGCTTGGCGACTGAAATAGACATCGAAAATAGAGTCACTGAAGTACCCATGGAGAAGATTTTTTGGAAAATCTACCTACATATTCATCCATTAAAAAAAACATGTTCATATTATCAAAGGCAACAGCAATTTCATTCTAAATCCCACCCTTGTAATCATTATATATTAAAAGTACATTCATTGTAGCATAATCAAATGGATTTCCTTTATCTCCCTAAACGTATTTTCGAAATATTTTAATCACGGCTTTAGAAACTTAATTTCCTTTGTCTATAATCTTCAGAAACGTAAATGTGTCAAAGCTTTGAACGCGGCTGTGTCATTTTAATTTCCTTTGCATAATTCATATTCATAAATACTTACAGTTCTTTAAAACACTGCCGGAAATTTGTTTTAGTAACAAGTACGAACTCTTCAGGATTTTACAAGAACGGACGTGACATCATTTGTTTATTTAAAGACTAACTCTCACCCGCAACTTTATCTACTTTATTTGATAAAAAATACCCTTTATCCTCATAATACAATATAAATCCACAAATATCCGTTCAGAAGTGTAGTCGTTAAAGTTAAGACCAACATACACACTTTCGCAACTATAATATTAGTAAGAACGTAAGTAAATATAAATCGAAATATCGCTATGCTGCAGTCAATCTCGATTCCATGGAATTGTCCCATAAGTAAATGTCTCGGACAGTGCGGTTTCAGAGAATTAGATTGTGGAATGAACCTGCCAAGGTTTCCTCACGAGACTACAGCATGAGCTTTTTCACGAAGGGTATATTAAGGTTTATTAAGGGTCGGCAACACGCACGTGTTGCAGGCGTCCATAGGCTAAGGTAACCATTTACCATCAGATGGACTGTATGTTTGTTTGCCATCAT